GGGGGGGTAGGGGGTGTTTTGGGGGGTTAGTGGGTGAAATAGCCGTTGGGTGGGGCCCAATACCCGTTACCCAACGACTATATTACAATTTAATTTTAAAAAAATAAAAATTCCTTGACTTGAACCGGTTCGGACCGGGACTAACCGGCAAAACCCGATTTCCGTCCCGTTACCCCTCCCGGTTCCCCATCGTAACGGACCTCACCGGAGCCTGCCGGAACGGTACCGATACCGGCACCTCCCGGTTCCGCTGCCACGCTTAGTTCAGACTGAGCTATGTTTATCTTCGGTAGCACTACATTCTAGAGACTCTTTTATTTCCCATCTTTTTTTCTTCCAAACAGTCTTTCAAACTTGATTTGTATTTGTAGATGCTCGTGTACTAATGTTATTAGTTTTGGGGTTGATTTAGATTGATTTTTTTTATTCCATATAGTATACCGTTAAAAAAGTTAATAAAGGAACATAGTTCACCTACGAGAGTGGCAGGCACTCTCACGACTTAATAGAATTTCAGGTCGTGACAACTCAATAAATTGACAGTAACAAGATTTTTTACTTGTCAATATAAAAAATACTGGAGAAATAGACAAGGTTTGCTGCATGACTTAGAAATTCATGTGTTTAGCAAACCAAAAAAGATCTACAAATACATATTTTACACACTCATTAATCTCCTATTTAGGGATGTACATGACCGATTGGCTCGGGTTTTTCAAATATCAAATCAAATTATTTGTGTCAAATTTTTAAATTTATAAATCAAACCAAACTTTTCAACCTCAAGTTTTTTCGGGTTGGTTCGGGTTTTTCAAATACCAAACCAAATTATTTGTGTCAAATTTTTAAATCAAACCAAACGAATAAACCTTGAGTTTTTTTTCGGATTTTTCCGATAAAGTATTCATACAAACATATAATTAACTTGTGCTCCAAATATTTTTTTAGTCCAATCAAAATACAACTATCTAAGGTGTTCTTAAGAAAATAACACAAAATATGATATGAGTGATGACACTAAAATATTCATTAAAAAATAAATAATGAAATCGTATAAAATATATATTGGATAAGGCACAAGTACCCCCTAGACTATGACAAAAGACAAACCTAAACTTAATCAGGGTCCTATTACCCCCCCCCCCCCCTCCCCCGAACTCATTTTCTCGTATTTTTGTGCTAACGTGGCACCTTCAACCACCCAAGTTAGTTGTGTTTTTACACACTCGCCTGCCACGTGCGTAAATATTAATTTTTATTTTTTAAAAAACTTAATCTTTTTTTTAACAAAAAAAAATTTATAATTTTTTTTCCAAAAAATATTCTTATTTTCTTTATCTTGTATTTAAATTAAGTTAATACACCTTTTTTTTTTAATCTTGTATCAAAGCTTTTTTTTTTTACCTTCATTCATTGTTTTTTCTCTTTATTTTTCTATTGATTTCATTTTCTTTGTCTTTCATTTTGATTTGATTTCAGATTTAATTCCAAATGTCTTTTATTTAAAATAAGTTAATTTTGAACGAATATCAAAATAAGTGAAGAATATCAAATAAAACATAAAAAAAATTAAAACGTTAAAATTAAAGGACACTATTAATTATTTTTAAAAAAAAATACACATAATTTTTTTTAAATAATTAAAAATAAAGAGATAATAAATTGATTAAAAAAAAGTTTAAAGTGAGAAAGAAATTATAATAAGTATTTTACAAAGAAAGAAATAAAAATAATTAAATATATATAAGTTTTAATATAAAAAATATGTGTACTAACTAATTATAAAATTACCAATCAAAAAATGATATGTGTCCAATTTGTGCACTCATCACTTGCCTTCAGGAGAGTGTGCACACTCTCTATTCCATGTTAGCGTTTGTGGTGTATTTATTTCATTTTAAATTAGTTTAGGGGGTAATAAGACCCTAGTTAAGTTTAAGTGTGCCTGAGATTTCGATCATAGTATAGGGGGTATTTGCGTCTTATCCTATTTTAAATGTCTAAACCAATGTAAAACTAAAGAACAAATATTCAACATTATTGTCATTCTTAGTGTTGAATTAAATTTTTTCTTGTTAGCACTAGAATTGATTCGATTTCTGACTTGAGCTTTATTAGAGCTACTAATATCTATGGATTATAATTAACCTTTATTAGACCATTCAAAATTAAGTCTCAAAAAACTTTAAAAAATATGTTAAAAGATAAAAATTATGAAAACGTATAAGTACTATTAATTTAGAAATCACATCATACTTGTTTGTATAAAATAAATTTAAAATTATATATATAATGTCGTGTTGGTTTGGTCTCGGGTTGACATTTTTATGTTAAAACCAAACCAACCCAAGTATAGTCGGATTTTTTTTCCAATACTAAACCAACCCAAGTATAGTCAGTTTTTTTTTCCAATTTGACTCAATTTACGATTTGATTTGATTTTTGTTTCAATTTTGTACACCCCTACTCCTAGTAAAAAATGAGTAGCATTGAGAGAATTCTCATGGACTATGTATCAGTGTGCAACAAACATAAGTTTAAAACAGAAGAAAGGAAGCAAGTTGAGCTAGGACAGGTTGCAAACAGAGAAGAGACTTTCCTTTTGAATATTAACATTTTTTTGCATAGCCAACATCAAAATCTCTTCTTCTTTTTGGAATCAACATCAAAATTCTCATCCCTTAAAATCTTATACCCAAAGAAATATTTTAGTTTCTTCAACCCCTTCCCCCCTTTTACTTAGCATAATTTAGACAATGGAAATTAAACAAAAACAAAGAAAGAAAGAAAGAAAGAACATGTCAACAACCTAGATGGTTGTTCACAAAGGTAACAAAGCTTAGATTCTTCTTTGTATATTGCCTCTCTTATACTAATCTCTGGCTCCACATATAATAATGAATACTATGAGCATTGCCAAAGAATTAAGTGCAACACCTCCTTAATTGGCAATCAACAGGAAATGTAGCGATATTTGCAAATAAGCGTTATCGATCATCCCAGGTATTGTTTGTGTATCCTAGCACGATTCTCTTCCCACCATAACCTGGCATGCACTTCTCCAAATTTTTCTCGGCTGCGTTGACATGTATAAGGTTATATCAGCCTCAATCATAAAGATCATACAAATGAAGAGAGGCAGAATAAGTAGCTCAAAGATTAATTCTCTCTTTACGAGTTCTTCTTACTAACACAGTAACACTTCATCAAGCACATTATGATGAAAACCATAAAGATAAATGAGAATATGCTCTAGTACTAATTATCAAAATGGACAGAGTGCAACTGTAATAATAGAATTTTGAGGCAAGATAGGTCCACCTGCATAACTAGGTAGGTAGGTAGGTCTATATATATATATATATATACATGTCCTTAGGTCATTCATAATTGTGCTAACTGATCATGAGATGAAACTAACCTGAATCTGACACGTTTGAGTTCTCGTCTGCCATCTGGTAGTGCTCGTATAGTGATGTAAACCCCAGGCTCATCTTGCTCAACCCATTCAGTTTCAAGATCACTGGCATTGCTGATAGATAGCTCTCCAGAGCGATCTGCATCTCTTGATGTGCTAGTCCTCATAGAGGCATCCATTGATGATATCTCTGTCTTTGTTCCACTGATGCTTGAGAGTTTTGGAGTTGAGGAGACACCACAAGAGTCATAATTATAGCGAGAATGGGTTGATTGTAGTTCAAGAGAATCTGAAGATGAATACATTGGACGGAACAAAGTATGTGGTAGTCGTTCTTTAGTCAGCGGGGGTGTCACAGGACTGTCTTCAATCGATTCGATTTTTGAACTCTATAAAAGAATAATCAAGAATATGTATATTTATGATAAAGGAAAAAAAGACAAATATATACATGTAAACACCATAAAGTAGGAGATAAGGGGGTACCCACCCCGTCTTCGGATCTTGGAGGTGTTGGAAGGGGAAAAGCTTGACGATTCAACCTTTGGACATTATAAAGCTCCATTACCTTCTCACAATTCTCTGACCACCACCTTTGAGCTTGGTATTTATTAAACATTTCTCGACTATTATAACAAATTAAGAAACCATGAGTCAGAAACTTGGCTTCATCAATGATATATCTATCCAGAAAATCCTTAATTTGGAAGCTGCAACTATTTTTCCTTTAATACCACATACATATATAAGCTCCTCCTTATTTCATTTTCTTAAAGTTTTGTTAAATTTACCACATTGTTGTGAAGTGAACATATATATATGAGATAACAGGACTTCTTTGTTAAACCATGCAATGCACCTGCTAAGCTGAATGTTTAGATTACTACTTTCAATTTATGTGATGGACTACTATTTTTTTGTTTTAGTCAAATTCAAAATGAATCACATCTCTTTATATAGTAACAATTTGATGAGATGATTTATAGTCATACAAATATCTCTGTGTGAAAAGTGCGGTAACACTAACAAGGTAGAAATGGGGAATTAAGTGGGAAGAAAAGAAAGAAAAACAAAATTAGGCATAGTCTGGTGGTCAAAATGTAAAGAGATTTAATTAGTAGATTATATTATGGTGTAAGTGTCTTGTTTTGATGGCCTACCACTCACAGAAACTTTTTCATAATTCAAGGGGACCAATAACTCAAAAACTGGCTTTATGCATGGTTATATATATAAAATGCCACAGACCTTTGACTTTGCTTAGAGCACATCCTACCCTTCACCAACCAAGAATATGATGAATTTTATTTCACGGGGATGGATAGTGAGTGACTTACAGGCCATTCAACAGATTATTAACAAATACTGTTCAACAATCATTGATCAACTCTTATTTTATATAATAGTATATGATAATAATTAGGAAGGTTAGACTCTAGTTTTAGGTTCAAATCCCAACTGACACAAAAAACACTGGATGATTTCTTTCTATCTGTCCTAATTTTGATGGACAGAATTATCTGATATATAATATTGATGTGAGGTCCTGTGAAATTAAATGAGGTGCACGTAAGTTGACCCAGACATCCAAGGGAAGAGCCAATTTGGGGCAATGAACCCCTTCGTCAGAAAATTATTTGTTATGTACATATTGAACGTCTTTTGGTTAGTTCGTGTGTTTACTTCTTTATATTTTAAATTTTCTTAATGAAAATCTTGACTTTGTCACTGCAGACACCACGGTTATTAAAAAAAAAATGAAGAGAAGATTAGACTGTCACAAATCTTGTGATGTTGCACTAAGGTGAGGCCTACAATATTGAATAGCAAAAGTCTTGGCTCCCACTCTCTACTACAAGTTATTAGAACCATAACATAGACTCTTGTAGTACTAGCGATTTTCCATGCCTAAATGTCTGTCACTATTGACATTGTAATGTCGATTCAAAACAAGAATGTGATAGCTCAGGAGTGTTGTTCCCTCCATTAGAAGCCAAATTTAGAGTCTACTCCAATTTTGTGTTGAGAGACAAAACTTTCTTACAAGATGACAAAATGGAAGAATTAATGATGATCAAGATTGAAAATGAAAGGGTGTAAGCAACACCCGACAAGACGACAACATTAGTAAAAGGTTTTTGCCAACACAATCAAAACAGACCCACCAAACATTTTCTTTTTTTCATCACTTTAATTTGAAAGGAATCTTATTTTCTTCTTTTCTTTCATAATTACTACTAATTTCTTCGTATGAACAGAGATTAATAAAAGTGATACTCCATTTGGGTAGGGCGTCAAAATTTACTTTTAGCATGCTTTCTTTTGGTAATAATCACAGGTTTAACTTTTTGGAACGACTGTCTCAAACACAAATTAATTGCTCTTGACCATAAACTGTTGCCAATTTTGACAATAACCATATACTTTGGGTTTGAAAGAAACCTTTAATCACCACCCACAATTGGATATATAATCATAGTGATGCTCAGTATATTTTCCATAATTTCGGAATTGAATTGCAAAGGCTTTTCATATATTTTTTGAACTCTGTGTCCGGTCAAAATAAATTGAATTAATGAAGCACCACCACATAAGAGTATACAATCAACTAGCACATTTTAAATACAAGCTAAGATAAAATATGAATAAATTGTATCATCAAGGATTATACATTAGGGGTCGTGATTTTGATTGGTGGGATGGAATAAACATAAAATACTATGAGATTAGTTACATCACTTTCTATATGAGATAGTTACAATAGAGTAAAATCCATAACTTAATACATGATAAAATAATTTTTATTTTTTATTTTTTATCCCATCAACCAAACAACCTATTGGAGTTTAACTTGTGTAATGATCTTTTTTTATGTGGAAAAGTAAAGTAATTTTTTTTAGCAACTTCACCTAGTATTCTCCTTTCTATAGTCAAGAAATGTATCCTAATATTTTACTTAAAGTAGCTAAACACCACAATTTTAACAACTTTAGGAAATTCCAAAATATGTTGTTTACCAACCAATAAGGGGAAGACAAAATTCTGAAATACTTCCCTAGTGTGAATAAATTCCACTAACAGTCTATCTTGTAACCTATATAAGATATATAGACGGCTATAATATAAAGTTGTTGGTCCATGAAAGAGAAAAAATAAACAACAAAATTAATTAGCAAGTAATGGTTCGCCACTCAACAAAGTAATTAATTTCTGATTATAGTAATGGGAAAATAGAATACCTGAATCGAATCCGCTTAAGATCATTGCCGCCACGTGGTAATGAAACGAAAGTGATTAGAACACCCGGTTCGACTTGAGCCACCCACTCTTTCGGCTCGCTTTCTTCAACAAACACCACCGGTTCAGCTCGCCGGCCACTAGCTGACGCCGATACCGGCGTAACTTCCCCGCTTGATATTCCCTTAAGCCTCGCTTCCAGCTCCTTCCTCCCAGCTGTAGAGCTGGAACTCGAACTCCCTGTTCTCTTATAAGACCACCGGAATTTATCCAACGAGTCGGAGTCGTTTTTTCTGAGAGTCGACGGCTGAGTCGCACATGGACCACACTGTTTGTATGCTCCTGATGCTTTCAATGCCATGTCCTTGATCTACGAAAGTCATGAGTTAGAATTTTTCATTTTCGGTAGAAATAGAAAAAGAATGATGATCAGTACCTGAGAAGTAAGTGTTTTGACAGATTGTTTATTAGGCGGAGCAGCATTTGGATTGAATTTTTCAGGTTGATCAAGGGAATCATCGTTCGATTGCTTCGAACGAGCTATGCACGTAAGCATCTCGCTAATACAATATCAAATTCTCTGAAATTAATTAATTAATAATTGAAGAAATTGGGAAGAGGAGTCTGAAGAGATATTGAATATAAGAAAGTGGGTAATAAGGAAAATGAAAGAGAGGGAAGGGAAGGCGCACTTTTAATGTCTTCCCTTAAATTGCGCCATCAAAGAGATTCCTGTACCACTATATACACACCCCTGAAGCAACAGTCAACTAAGACATCCGGTACAATATACACAAATTTTATTATTATTTTCGTAGATGTTTTCAAAAGATTTTCGATTCGAGTGTAGTAAAATTCAAATACAAAACATAAGAAAAGAGCGTAGAAAACTTAACAACTAACACAGTATAATTGAAATACAGTAACTATCGATGCAAGATATCAAAAGTAAGAAGTACAATAATAATCGGGGAAGGATTTGAGTCTCACTAGGAGTACTGATGGAGAGTTGAGAAATTAATTGTAGAGAAACAATGGATAGTTGGAAGATTGAAGATGAAGAAATTGGAAAGAATTTATTTAGTGTTTGCTTTAACAGAGTTGGAAATACCTTTGTCTCTATTTGCTTTTACTTTTTCTTCTTTTTTTAAAAATATTTAGACACAACATATATACTCCTTATCATTTTTGAGTTTGAAAAGGTTGTACAACTTAGGGATCGGTGTTACCAGACCTGCCAAATGTATTTTTTTAAAATATTCAAAATTTAATTTATTTAAATTTATATCATGTATAAAAATTATACATTTAAAATAACAATTAATTCACGTCTATTAAGAGTAGGAGTGTTTATACTTCGGTTTGAGTAAAAAAAAATTCATCCATATAAAAATGTTACATGTTAATATCAATTTAAATCAATTAAGGCAATTTTTCATCGCTTTAATTTTCATCAGTTAATTCAGTTATTTATTTGAATGTATGATATCATACCTCCAAAGTCCAAACACATATTAAATCGACTATATATTTTAGTATACCACTAACAAATCAATTACGATTTGAGAAAAGAAGAAAATATATATGTAATCAAGTTATATACGTAGCTTCCTTCAAAAATTTGTATGGTCCTCTAAAAAATTTATCATTTTCAACGAACAAAAGAAAATTCTTACAATAAATTTATCTATGTGCAATAAATTTAAAATCTAGTTGTAATATATTAAGATATCTTAACGATAATTAAATTAAACAATGATGAAAAATAAAAGATTCCAAAGGTCAGTTATTTGAACATCAAATAGATTTTTGAAATTTTCAAAATTAAAATTATAAATCAAACTAAAAAAAAGGGTAACAAATTGAATTTAATTATTATAAAGGCGAACACATATATCATGAACCAATAATACAAAAGATTACATATATTATAGTTTTTAGAAAGATATTTATGTAGTCATTTTGCTTAATTTTTTTTTGTTTAAACTTAAAAATATAATCAAACTTTGTTGTTTTTTTAAATTAAAAATCATAATTAAATCAAGTGCTTGATTTTTTGTTTGATTTGATATTCGATTTGGCTTGAACACCCTTAGTTAGAACTTAGAAGTATAGAAATAACTTTTACTAATATTTATTAACATGTAAGTAATATATTTAATGAAGAATTAACTAAAATAGCGACTCATATTATCAATAAACTAAAAATAAAACCATTTTACTCTTGAAAATTTTATATGGTATACCAAACATATTTATTCCTTTTTAGGGAATGGTTATGTTTATTTGTACCCACCAAAGAGGTGGAAAAAAGAAGGAAAAAAAAAGGAAAAGCCGATTTTTTATTTATTTAAAAATAAATAAATAGAACTCAGTACACAAAACCTTTTGCTCTATTTGCTTTTATGTCTCTTTCTCTTCTTCTTTTCCTTTTTTTCGTGTATTTTTTTATTTTGAATACCTTTATTAGGCATATATTCATCATCATTTTGGAGTTTGAAAAGACGGTAGACATAGGGATCCGTGTTATTTAGTTATAAAATTATTTATTATTATATATATATACTAGATAATGTGGCATGTGCTATAATATAAATGGTATGTTTTGGGGCTAATAACCGAGTTTTTGAAGCGATTGTTTGTGTGGATAAAAGAATAAGTTTTTTTATCACAAACCTATACTTTCTTTAACGCTATTTAAGGCATAATAAGACTACCCACATACAACATTTTTGAAATATTTATGTTGTCAATTATCATGATTTATAGTATTTTTACGATAGATTCACTTCAAGAATCAGTGGAATTTTTTGTATTTTTTTCAAAACATATTTTATATTGTCAATTATCATGATTTATAGTATTTTTATGCAATTTTTAAATATAAAAAAAATAAAAAATAAGACAAATAAATTAAAATTGACCCAATATATGTTATTTTTGTTGTCTCAATTTATGTGACACAAATGAAATTTGGAGAGTCATCTAATTTTTTATATTTTTTTCAAAAATGTTTTAAGTTATTAATTACTGTGATTTATAATATTTTTATGTAACTTTCAAATAACGTACATTACTGGTCACTTTGTCCTAATTTATGTGATGTGGATAAAATTACAAAATTAACCCTTTTAAAATGTCTTTAAGATATTTTAAGTTGTTAATTATTATTATTTATAATACTTTTTTGGTAATTTTAAAATGATATGTGTTATTTTTTCTGTCCCAATATATGTGAGCTTGATAGAATTCTGAGAGTCAACGTATTGTATTATATAGCTTTTAAATATTTTAAATTGGTAATTATTGTAATTTTTAATGCTTTTTAAATTATTTGTAAATGATATATGTTGCTTCCTTTATTGAGACTTTTCCATTTGTGACACACACACACACACATATATATATATATATATATATATAGATATTTGGTGCCCGTGCTAGCATAGGCCCAATAAAAATTATTTTTTTTTATTTTAATTATGTGATATAAATGGAATTTGAAGATCAGTGGATTTTTTTATATGTTTTCTTAAAAATATATTTGAAGTTATTAAATTGTGGTGATTTATAGTATTTTTGCGTTAGTTTTGAATAATATAGGTTACTCATGTTTCAATTCACATGAATAATCATAAATATTTTCAGTTGTTAATTTATTGTGAATTCTAGAAATTTTGACGTTATTTTGAAATAGTACATGTTACTTATTTTATTCCAATTAGTCAACCAAATTTCTTATATGATTTAAAAATATTTTTAATTGCTAATTATTGTGATTTATAGCATCTTTTATGTAACTTTTAATAATATATAATTTATTCAAATTCATATGACAATGATAAGATTTCAAGAGTCAACGCAATAAAAATTTAAATTTTTTAAAAAGTTGTACCTCTAATATATTTTGTAGCTAAAATATACTCTCTCCGTCCACTTGTATTTGTCATGTTGCGCTTTTTGAAAGTCCATTTGACTAATTTTCAAAGTTAAATCAGATTGTATTAATTCAATATTTAAAAAAAAAAACTAAATATGCAAAATCTATACAAAAAGTACTATAAATTGTTATTTTTTGCCTATGAATATGATGAAAAAACACATTGTAAAATATTAGTTAAAATTCTTATAGTTTGACTCTAAAAAGGAAATCATAACAATTAAAAGTGCATAGAGAGAGTAATAAATAGGTAATTAAATTTCAAGAAGTTTAAAATAAAATGTTGAAAAAAAGAATTAGATAAACAACATATATTGAAAATTGAAAAACATATAAATAATAAATGGGCCCAAATGAGGTCAAACTTTTTGGCTAATAAAGTAGTAGGTAATTAATGGTGTTAAATTGTCCAATAATATAAATTTTAAAGGTACAACCATAAAAGAAGAATGTACAACACTATGAAGCACATATCATCCAACACTTGTCATGTGCTAAATAGTAGATATTCCCACTTATGTTAAATTGTCCAATAATATAAATTTTAAAGGTACAACCATAAAAGAAGAATGTACAACACTATGAAGCACATATCATCAAACACTTGTCATGTGCTAAGTAATAGATATTCCCACTTATTATATATAGTAATATATATATATATATATATATATATATATATAGCTTGTATTTTATTTACAAATCAAATGATATAAAATTAATGTACATGAATAATTTATTTATCCAGCTAACCCTAAAAGTCTTCTTGAATCTTGTGGCTTATACCTCTTGTGACAAGTACTCATTTTTCATCCAAAAAATGATATCAGATGATTTTATTATTATTTACTATAAGGCCCCCATTATTCTAATTGAGAATATACATACTTAATTTTTTAATCAAGGATGACTTTTGTTCCAAGGAAATATTTTTTTATTTGCCAAGCAACTTATGGGATCAACTAATTCCATTTTAGAACAACCTATTTCGTTTGACAATTTCAGAGTATTAAATACCATTTCAAATTAAATGTAATTTTTTTTATTATGTATTACTCCCTCCGTCCCATTTTATGTGAGGAAGTTTGACTTGACACAGAGTTTAAGAAAGAAAGGAAGACTTTTAAAACTTGTGTTTCAAAATAAAATATATAAATTTGTGTGGCTGTAAATCATTTCATTAAGATTAAAATAAACGTTTTATAGTTAAATTGTTACTTAATATAGAAATGTGTCATTCTTTTTGGGACTGACTAAAAAGGAAAGTAAGTCACATAAATTGGGACAGAGGAAGTATTTATTTTATCGAAAAAATAATACAATTGCATTTGTAATAAGGTCAAAGATACACGTCTTGATTTTACTTATAAATTACTCCTCCGTCCAATAATAGTTGTCCACTATACTATTTTGGGATGTCCACCAATATTTGTCCACTTTATGAAATCAATAGTTAATTTTACACTTAGTTCCTAATTTATCCGTATCATTATCCTTCCAAGCATTTTGGATATGAAATTTGTATTGCCGAAAAGGTTCTCCCTGTCCCGAACAACCTCTCTTCTTATAGGATTCATAGAGTTTACCTAGTTATAGTCATTTCTCTATTACATTTTTCAAGATATTATATTTATTATATTCAAATGGTGATATAGTAAAATTATCCTTGTATTTAGAGTTTCTTAAGAAGTGTGCAAAGTCAATAGTGAACATGTATTGTTGGATAGAGGGAGTAAATTATTGACAGACAAATATACTAGTAAATACTCCTTCTAGTCAACAATATTTGTCCACTATTTATTAGACACA